TTTTCCTGTGGTCGTTTCAACAACAGTTTATTTGGTTTGGGTGATATAAAAAATATAATAAATACCCATATAAATGATAATAATTCACCAATAAGTTGGTTAATTTTCAAGAAAGTATTTTGCAGATATAGACGTTTTAGTTTGAGGGGTTTTCACTGCGCAGGTGCTGAGATTTCAGCTTGTTTTTGACATAAAGGCCTTTTCCTCCTCTTATCCTCCAATAAAATATATTTAGCCAAAAAGAAATTAATTATTTCTAATTTAAGGAGGACCATTTACCATATTTCCCTGTGCGTAAAGTACGCATTTTAGACTTAGGCGCAAAATGATATTTTAAATTGGAGAGATTAGTTATCAGGGGAGTGAGAAAAACAAAAGTAAAGACAAACGAATAATCACCTGGCTAGAATTAAGTGTGTGTGGGTGTGTGTGTGTGTGTGTGTGTGTGTGTGTGTGTGTGTGTGTGTTACAGTAGAAAACGCTGATAACAACACTCATTACGATTATTTTGGCACTGATAAATGCTTAAATATTTCCAGAGTGAAGGGGAAAACAGGGGATCCCTTACCGACACATTCGTTAGCTTCTCTAACCGTGGCGCGCTGCCAGGGTCGGTCGTAGTGGAAAGGTTTGCACCTGTCGCACTCCGGTCCCGCCGTGTTGTGTTTGCACTCGCAAACCAGATTCCCCTCTCTGTCCTTGACGCACTTTGAAGCGTGCCCGTTACACTTGCACCGTCCTCCGACCTGCAGGTCCGACACTGCGTAAAAGTAGGAATCGCGGGCTAGCTCGGAGTCGTCCTCGTTCTCGTCTCCGAACGTGTGAAGCCGGCTGAAGATCACCTTGATGTCCGTGGCTGTCACCCAGTCCTGAAGCACCGGAGAGTTATCGAAGTCGTGTGCCGACGGTCTGCCGTCCAGCGTGCTGAAGGCTATGAGCCCACCTGTCAGCGGGTGCATGTCTGTGTGGGAGTCCGTGCAGATCGCCTCTTGCTCGTTCTGCTTCGTAATTGCTGCCCTGTTCTGCCGGTTGTACATCTTCTTGCACTGAGTGGAATAAAACTGAAAAGGTACCCACGATTTGCCATAGTCCATGGACTTGTAGATCGCCATGGACTCGGGTCTGGGCGAGCAGAACTGCAGGCTCACATAGGTGACCTCAAACTTTTTACCCAAGGACAAGGTGAGAGTGACGTTCTGCGGATACTGCACGTAGTTTTCAGACTGCCAGCAGGTGAGGTTGTGAGGGTTGTTGAGGTCTGTCAGATAGGCAGGTGGATGGGACTTTTTGGGATCTCCGGAGTCGCACGTGTGACAGTCCCTACTCCTCTCCTCTCCTTTTTCGGTCACCACACAGTAGCGGGCGGCCGGAGTGCCGCAGGTGCTGGACACGCGCACGTCCTTCCCAAAAGCAGAGTTGACAAAGTCGGGGATGCATCTCCGAGGATTCCCGTTCTCGTCATAGCACGGGTCCGGAGGGGAAGACTGTGCAGCAAACATGCTGAACCCGTATCCCCCAAAGACACATTTGGTAAGCGCAGAAACTGTCACCAAGGTGACCCAAACCTCCAAAATCCTTTGCATTGTAATCCGTGAGTCGTAGGGGGTGGGTTTGCGCTGAAATGCGACGAGGACAAGATAATCAGTTAGCAGCGCTGCAGTCAGGTATTAAGAAGAAAACAAGACAGCTATTAAACAATAAATAACGCTCACGAGGAAATTAGAGAGTGGGTTAGGACGCAAACAAATGCATGAAAAGAAATAAATGTGTATAAAATATTCTTACAGGGCCAAGAAAACTCCACCTAGACCACTACCTCCAAATATACAGCTCAGCCTGAAAGTGCAGGAGAACTCCAAAGAATTTGGAGAAACAGCCTATCCGATTTAATCCGAAACTACTGCTATAGTTATACTTCCCCCCCTCTTTAAAAAACCCAGAATAAAACCAAGATATGGCAAATGCCCAGCTGGCTCTGACCCTCCTTCTGCCTCTGCCTGTCCACTCAGTCACACCTCTGCCCACCTCTATCTCCTTCTGTCCCATTCCCTCTCTGTTATAATAGAAAAAAGGGGGCTCCGCTCATTCAGTCAGGAGTCGGAGCTTTTTTTTCTCCTTTTTTTTTTTTTTTTTTTTTTTTTTTTTCGAAGTTTGAGATGGAGCAGCGACATCGTCCGACATATTCCGTGAACTACAAGCTTAAAAAGCAAACTCGAAATGAAACTTAAGAGTCATGCAGTCATTTGATTTTTTTCAGCTACCTCTCTCTCTTTAATCAACAGTGTATGTATGTCTTATATAACTAAGATACAATAATAAAAAAAAAACACGTCTAAGATACCATCAATGACCACCGTGGTTTCATCGCTGGTCTTTAAACCACATCCTTATCTTCACGCACAGGAAATCAGCTGCACGTTTGCAGCCCCAGTAAGCTGCAAGTAGCAAGACACAACCTTCCTTTTCATGTCGTTATTGTCTAATGTGCCAGCAAGGGAGTGATGCAACATTGCCTAACAGGCACACTGTACATTAAAAAAAATCATCTGAAGTGTCGTCTCAATGAGATATATAATGAAATATTACATATAAACAGCTTAAAGCCATCTTTTTTTTTTATCATAAGTTAACTTTTGTTAACCTTGTCTTCAGTTTTAATTGGGATTGTTATTTTTGGATTCCATTTATTTTATTTCTTTGAACAAGGTTGTAAAGTCAGATAAAGTAAGTGTTGTGAAAATATGAACGAGTACTTAGAATGTCTTGATACATGCTCAGTCATCCAGGTATAACGAAATCCTTTGAAGGGAAAGAGCATCTTTGAATCAAGGTGGGGGGCTAAGGATACGTCTTTCACCATCTTACAAAGCTGTGATTGGAGCCATTCCCCATCTCTCTGTAAATTGTACGCACCATGACAATTTAGATATTGAAAATGACCTCATGGCCCATCATTCCCCAGTTGGGGAAACCTCTGGTGTTGGAAACTGAAGGAGTCACACACAAGTGGATGAAATGGATTAGGGATAGGGACTATAAATATATATAGTATTATATATGTGTGTGTGTGTCTTTTTTTTAACCATTGTTTATTTTTGGTAACTTGTAGATAAAATTTTACTCTGATTAATGTTTTTAGAAATTGCTGGGTTGTTGATAGGAAAGGGGAAGCTGATAAATGTTTCAGAATTGCAACACTCTTTTGGGTGTTTACGTATGCTGTGATAATGTTAGGTAAAAGAGGAAACATCACAAAACAAAAGCAAATGTAGCACATTGAGCATCACTACTGATACACAAAGCAACAATAAGTTACACTCAGCAGTTTATTTCTTACATTGTGCTAATATTGCGTTGGACTACCTTTTGTCTTCAGAGCTGCCTTAATTCTTAACGGCAGAGACTGATAAAGGTCGTGGAAATATTTGCTAAAAGGGTTTGTTCTGTATTGACATGACAGCATCATGCAACTGCTGCAGATTTGCATGTGCATCATCTGTTAAAGCACATCCCAGTGGCGCTATATTGGATTGAGATCTGATGACTGTGGAGGAAAATTGTGCACCGTGAACTCACTGTCATGTCCAAGAAACCACTGATATAAGGTTCTTTATCCTGCTGGAAGCAGCCAGAGAAGATATCAACAATGTGGTCATAAGACAGTGGATATGGTCAGCAACAATACTCAGGTGCTGTGGTTTTACATGACGCTCCGTTGGTACACAAAGTGTGCCAAGAAAATATTCCTCCCACCATTACACCACCTGGATGGATCCATGCTTTTATGTTGTTTACTCCAAATTCTGACCATACTATTTGAATATTACAGCAGTAAGAGACTCATCAAACCAGGCAGTGTTTTTTCAGTTGACTAATTTAGGTGAGTGCATGCAAACTGTAGCCTCAGTTTCATTTTCTTAGCTATTAGGAGTGGTGCCCAGCGTGGTGTTCTACCGCTGTATCCCGCTTCTCTTTGGGGAGCACTGGCAACCCCCTAAAATTTGCTGTCCCCCCAGTGCCTCCCCTGACAAGACTGTCCTATGTTGGTAATACCTGTATTAAACATGAGTACAAGAGAGGAAGACACCCTACAATGAGTTGAAACATGAACTTGTTAACTTAAACAGGCTATTATGGATTTCAGAATCTTATTTGGTTTTCATATGAACCCGCTTTCAGCGATATCAACTTTAATAGCAGGAAATTAACCAGGCACATAATTATTTTCTTCTTATTATGTTTTTTAAAAGGAAAAACAGATCAGTGACAGCTTCAGCTCGCCTCTCTTTGGTTTAAGCATCTAATGGGTTTACTGTATTTGCCTGAAACCGCCAAAGCTAATTTTGCATCTAGAAGGATTCAAAATCTACTTAACTGACATCCTACCTCACTTTATCTTCCCTTTATTCTACTCACACAATGCACTAGAGGGAACTAGAGTCCTGCACTCAGGGCACAGAGAAGATGCACACATCTAGTTCCCTCTGACACTCACTGAATTATACCATGTGAACAGGCATTTACCAGTAATGGCATAAATATGTTTCCTACTAAAGGGTTTTCTTACCAGAAAGAGTAGCTAACATCTCTTGGTGTCATCAGAAAACTGACTGATCCTTTCATTTACCAGAGACTGTTCAAACTGGCCATTCGCTGCCACTTACTACCTAAAACAGCTTTCCTAACTGCTGTATGTGCACTGCTTACACTCACATAGGCCATCCAAAGAGGCTTTGGCATGCTGTGGAGTCTGTGTTCAGAAATTTATATGAAATTTTTGTGATTGATTTCTCTATGTAAAGGACTAAGAACCCCAGTTTTTATCGCCTTATCTCTGGGGACTGACACATTTGATCACAACAGTCTAGACGTTTATGGCACAATGTCGTGAACAACTTTAGTCAAATGAGGTCTGTCTTAAAAAAGACTCCTCCTACTGCTTCAGCACAATGTCTTGTGTAAACTACTTCAGCATAAAGACTCGTCAAGTTCCTGTTTTGCAGCACATGCTCTCTTAGCTGTGCAGTTGGAGGGTCTATTTTTGAAAAGCACCAACACAGGAGGATGTGGTCTCTGTATTGTTTCCCTTCGTTGGCGTTTCTCAGTTGTGGTACATCTGGGATGATCTAGGACACAGATTACAGTGCTCACTGGTAAGATTTATCTCGCTTTGCTGGTTGTCTCTAATTTTATGCGCATTAAAAACATTTAAGCAGCAACTTGCATGTGCATCTCTGCTCATATCAGGCTGTCTGTACCTCGTTTTAGAACGAGCATCTATCACCCAGCTTATAAGAGACCTAACTGCAAACTTTAATTCAACCTCTGCAGATTTCCTGTTCCTCTTCTTTTGTTGAAAGCTGTTGATGTAACCGGGCTGTCACGCCATAAAAATACATTTGATTGGCTTAAAGTGCAGCAATCCTATTGTGTCAAGTTCCCATCAAATAATGTTTGTTTTTTTGTTTTTTTGCATTGTGGCACGTCATGTTTACATGGCAGGCCTGAACAATATAGCCTGAAAGCATACAATGGATTAACACCTGCTTCCTCAGTGGACAATTGATGGACTTGCTCGCTGCTACGGGATATGCCAGGTAGCTGCTGCAAACAAATACTTCCAGCATATCCTTGTTGGTCATGTGCTATGCCCAGATGTAGTTATTTTGTGCCCTGCAGCTTTAGATTTTAAGCTTGAACTACGACTACGAAGCCACAGCGTGACTAAAAGTCATTGTCTGTGTCAGTGACTTGTTTCATGTTCCGCTTTAATTCCTGTTTTTCTGTATCCTCTGTTACGGTCGTTCCCAAGTAGAGGATGTGTTTGTGTGTGTCTTCATGTACACAAACACATTACACAAAGTTTGAAATCCTTACCTATAAGAAATACCGTAGGCAGCTGAAAGTAAGGGATATGTGGCTGAAACATCTCATTAGACTGGTGATGTTGGTGAAAGGTCAGCTGAGTTCATCTGACCATGGAAGCAAGCCCCTTAAAAAAATAAAAGTTCGGCGTCACCACTATGTTGCAATACTGTGAACGCTCTGCATGTCTACCCATGTCTAAAGAGAGTAGTTCCATTTTTCTTTTAAAATTTCAACTGGACTCTTTATCCACATTTCAAGCTACATATTTTTGGTTGTTGCTGAACTCTTTGGATAATTTGCTATTCAAAATAATGCCTACATATTTTACACTGGGCCTGCTGTCTAAAACAAGCTGTTGTTACTCTTCTTCCCCTTCCTTTAAGCTAATTGTCTTCTCATTGACTGCCTCTGGTAAACAAGTTTGGACAGCAGGTGGGCGGGGCTGTTGCGCCTGAGATAACCATATAAGGGATATCCTATCTCAGTGACATCATATGAAGCTGAGACAAGAAAAAAGTGCTGGAAAACACATGTTTGGAGCAGTCTGAAGCCTTGAAACGTTTTGCTCACATTATTTCATTAGGCATGCTTAATATGAGCATCGACAATATATATATAAATGACACAAGATGTTCCCTTTAATTTACACTGTATGCCTCAGAGAGGCCTTTTCCCGTTTTGATTGGTTGAGATTAGCCCATTTTTCCAGTTACAGCTTCCTTAGAAAAAGTACCAGGGGAAATATTCCTTCTCATCCATGTCATAGGGTGTGATCTGAGTTTAAGTAAATACTGCAGCAAACCATGTCTCAGGGGAATCTGCTCATGCTGCTACCTACTTCACTGTGCGCTTTTTATTGCAGCTAAATGTGTGAACGCCCAAACCACAGGTGCATGTAAGTGAATTCCAGCAATTCTTTTTTTCTTGTGCAACCATGTTTACTTCAAAGTCACACATTTGCTTGATTTAGGACTAAAGAGGCTCAAATAGGAAGTTGTCCGTTTGTAAGTCATTTCCAAATTGCTTGTGAGTCACATGAATGTGGTGTCACCAGCTGATTTTAAGAATGAAAAAGTAGAAGTTGTTGAGCTGTTTTCCACCAGCTCATCTCCGGTCCACTCCCCCAGTCTGTGACTCACTGGCATTACTAGGAAGTGCCAGTCTGCTGTGTTTTTTTACCCTGCTGTGGACACTGGTTGGACACTTGCTGTTTGCTTGTGAGAGCAAGTGTTGGTCTGGAAAGGGATAAACAATGATTGTAAAGTGTGGCCAGCACCATCAGTGGGAAGTCTGAGTGACTGAAGAGACCAGAGACCAAAAGAGACCAAAGCATCAAAGGGAGTAATTTAGCTTTTTTTCTATTTGTCTGCCTCAGTAGAAGACGATGCAAACACTGGATCAGAGCTCGTGCACCGAGGATCGAATCCAGCATGTCCTCGAGCGCTGCCTCAGTCACCTGGGTGTCGACACTCCTGACACACAGCTCTGGAAAGGTAGGATTCAAAAGCAAAGCTGCTTTTAATGGTAACACCCCAGAAAATGATATCATCAGCCTAACAAACCACTATGAGGGGGTGGGGGAAGACATGTTAAGACTACTGGTGGGAAAACTGTAAAATTATTTAAAATATTATTTAAAATATTAAATAATAGCCTTTTAAATAGCCTTTTCCAAATAATAATAATGTAATAAGACTTATACCCTCAATGAACTGGGAGCTGTAAGAGAAAAATGGGAATTGAAAGTGGTGACACACAGAATGAGCAAGTATCCGGTTATGCAAGATCCTTTTTTAAAATTTCTAACTAAAAACCCTTCATTGAAAAACAGGCAGCAAGTGAAAGTGGCATCATCGTTTTCAAGCATCTTTCTAACTATAAGCCGAGTACCTGAACAGTCTGTTTACTGGTTGCCATCAGACTGAAACCTAAAAGGAGAAATACGCAGCTCAGTTCAGGTTTTTTAAAATTTCTCTCTGCCCTGACTAGCCGGACTGTGCATCAATCGCTGGTCTTTGGAGGAACTTGTGAAGAGAGATCCCCACAACTTCCTCATCCTTCTACAGCAAATACTGAGGAAAACAAAGGAGGTGAAAAGCCGAAACACCAACATCAATTTCTGCGCTGTTTATTGCTATAGGAGGAAAGGCAGTGGTTTCAATTCAAGTTTTTTCTTCCTCTACAGGTGCTGGAGCAGTGTCAGTATGAGCTGGTTGTGCCGCTCTCACTCTTGTTCTCTTCCACCCTCCTGAGAGTGAGTTATTATTTACTGATCAGGACAGAAATGAGAAGGAATCCTCCCATTATCAGCTGCACAGTAAAAACATTTGTGGAACTTACATTAACACTTACTCACTCTTGCAGGCTCCTTACTTGCCAGCAAACAGTGGCGTGCTGCAGGACGCCAACCTGTTGTTCCATGGTTTCCTGTCCTGGCCCGAGCCCTGCAGTTCTGCTGCTAAACGTCTGCTTAATGTCATCCAGCAGGAGCTCCGAGCACCAGGTTGCAATAAAACTAATAACCACAGCAGTAAAATATGAAAGACATAACAATAGATACCACCAGTAGTTACTACTAGCTAAGTGTTTATACAATAATAGTGAGCGTCATTGGCAGCAAAGCCAGTTTAATAGAAACAAAAAGAAGAAGGTTGTATCCTTTAATCAGAGAAGGAGGAAGCAAACTGAGTTCAAAACAAAGCAGCTAACAGATAGTTTAGAGTTAACTCAAAGCTACTTATCAGTTTAATGTTAATCAGACTTGGTTAATCAGGTAATCAGACTTGACCAAACAATCCTAAATTGTGGTTAATTCTGTTGGTAAATGTGGAAACTTCCACCAGTAGAATTAAGTGCCACCTAATATGAATCCACTTAGTGACTGACTGCTGTTGACACTTGTTATGTATTTAGTAAAATCAGTTTATAATTTTGTGGTACTACTTTCTGTGTAAAGTAGAGAACACCAAGTGTGGTGTATGTGCGCATTGATATGCCTTTCCTCAAAATGGTTATTAAAGTAAGCTACTAACAACCAAAAAGGCATTGTTACTTTACCAGTTAAGTTATAAGAGAGAATATAACAACACTGAAGGTCTAATAGAGTTCATTTGGTGTTGACACATGAAAATATCGAAACCACTGGTTTGGTTATTTACCATGTGACCACATGGAGGCAGTGTTTCCCTGACAAAGCCACCTCATGCATTCATACTTGTAGATCCATGTATTTGACCTTTCTCCTATTTGTTTGCTGTAGGTATTTCATTTCAAAGACTGGTAAGGACGGAGCAGGGTATTTCCCATGAGATTCACGGCTCTAAAACCATGTAAGTCCACGAAAAATGTAATGATTACAGAATGTGAGTGAAAATATTAAAAATATCTGTTAAATGAGCTAAACATTGCTGCTATTTCTGTGCACACTAAACATGTGCGTGTGTGTTTGTGGGCGTTAATGTATGCAGCACGGTACTGCTGGTGAGTCCAGACGATGATGTTCCTACAGAGGTGCAGTCTGTCTCCGAGCAGCTGAGTGCCTCCCAGCATTGCAGCAGAGACGTCACCATCACTCTGATCCTGCACAGCTTTCAGGCAGCTCTGGGCACCAAACATGACCTACAGGAGCTCCACAAAGCCCTGCAGGTGACTCCTCACTGACTGTTTTGGTAACACTTTCTAATGTGACTATACTTTTCAAAGACACAGGGCTTCTCTAAAATAAGTACGATGTAATTACAATGTAACATGAGGGAAAAAAAAATTTCTTCTGCACAATTACCAAGAAATTGCATATTACTTAAAATCACTTACTTAAATTTGCCTACAGTATAATTATTTCTTTGCTTCCTGTGAAAATCTGACTTGCCTCCCCCTTATTCTAGCATACCGCACCTTAATTTGTAGGTAAATGTTATTATATATTATATGTAATTTTACTGTATTACAGGAGAACTACATCCCTAGTTGCAAGCTGTAAATATCTAAAGGTTTTTCACAATTTTTTCCCCTTAAAGTTTTTTCTTTGTTTGTTTTTTTTTCTTAATGTTTAATGTTTCTTTCAGAGTAAGCAGCCTGAGGAGCTGGACCAGATTCTGCAGTCACTGACGGAAAGCATGGAGATGGCAGCCTCTGCAGCAGATCTTGGATCAGCGAAAGAGAGAATACTCCAAAGAATGGAGAGGCTCAAAGAAAGCCTTGCTATACCTGCTCGTGCCGATGAAGGCACAGACATGGGTAGGTCAGGGAATAACATGAAATAACATGAAAGCACTATATATGAAAATGGCGCTGTTCACTTTAATCTCAGTATTTCCTCTTCTCATCAGCAGCTGTTGACATTTTCACGCTGCCCTTCCCCAAATGCCACAAATGCTACTGGGAAAATGATAACTTTGGTAACAAGCTCAGTTTAAACAGATTTATGACTAAAGCTTCCTTTAACTGAGCTACAGGATAATCTGCTAACGCTAATCCTGCTCTTTGCATCACTGCAGATGTTCTGAAACACATTCTTGGAGCTCAGAATGACATGGATTCGTCAGACTGTTTCCTTAAAACCGGACTTGACGATGATGACAATAACGACACCAGCTTTGATGAGGAAGACGAACCGGAAGGAAACAAAGATGAGTTTCAAAGTCATCGCATCTCCACCGCGTCCTCGTCCTCCAGGGACTCCGGCTATTCTCTGTCTTCCAGCTGGTCTGTGCCGTCTGGCTCATCGGGTGTGGAATCGGGCGAGGAGACAACACAGGAGGACATAGAGGAAAGACCAGACAGCCAGCCCAAACCTAGAAAGAAACCAAAGAAGAAGTCTAGATCCCTCCTAGGCTTCTCTTTGCTTTTCAAGCCCTCTCGCAGTCCTAGGGTTTGCCGCCGTGTCCAGAGCATGGCCTACCACAAAGACTTTGAAAGAACTCAGTCACACCTCAAACCCTCCAAAGTTCATCCCCTTCATGAGTCCCCTGCTCCCTTGGATCCTCTTTCCCCTCAAAAGCATTTGTGCGTCCGCAGGAGACCAATCCTGAGTTGCAACGAGGAGGATCTGGTAGAAGCACCTACCCTCGTCAAGGTGGTGGTGTTTGGAGGTGACAGAGAGGCTGGAAGGCTGGCCAGAGCCTACAGCGACCTGCATCAGAAAGAGAGCAAATGTCCCCAGCTCACCAAGGTGTGCAAGCTGCAGTTTTACTTTGTTCCCACCAAAAGACAAAGTGGAAGTCCGGGAGGAGGGCACACACCAACTGAGGAGCGGATAGTAGGTTTAACCAAAACCACTACCTCTTTGGTGAGAACATCTGCCACCTCTGCATCTCAGTTTATCCCGTATTTTATCTCCATATGTTCATAGATAGGATGGGACCACTTTTAAAGAATAATCCTTAAAACAACTTTTAATTTCATTGATCAGCTATGAATGAGTACTTTATGTGCCTGGCTCCAAAAAAAACGTCTTTTCATTGTTCATAATAAATTCGCTTTCTCTCCTGTACATTAAAGATGGATGTAGCCAGCAAATTTATTTTAGTTTTGTTTCGATACCTTTATCTGAGCGTTTTGCCTGCTTGTCGGCTGCACAACACACCGGGTAGCAATAAGCACTGAGTACTGTAAAATAACAGCCATGTTTTTATGGCTGTGCAAACAGTTTGGATAATAAAATGTCATTAATATAATTGAACAGACAACCTTACTTTTCATACAGGACTCAAATGGCCTTGCAGTGGACGACTGGACGACAGATATAGCTCACATGTTGGGTATAATGGATCCCTGGTATGAGCGAAATGTCCTCAGTCTGCTCAGCTTGTCCTCTGACGTGCTCTCTCAGGTATATTTTACTCAGTCACCATCACCTGTCAGTGTTTCATACGGCACACAGTAGAAGTCTATAAAAGTCGCTGATGTTTTTCCAATCACTATCCTTAAGTGATGAAGTTGAATTACAGAGAATAAAGAATCCAGTGTCCTTGTTTTAATTTTTCTTACAGCAAACTAGCACTAAAAGTAAGCTAGGCCTCATTTTGGACTCATCCTTTGAGGTCTTGTGAGGCACTTGCTATATGAAAGGAGCAATGAAATGGCTGGAGATCATAGTGATGATCATAGTAAATCTCTCAGTTTTTCCATGTGTGGAGGACTTTTTGGAGATCTGAAAACACCTCATGAGCTGAATCAGTTTTGTGGGGACTTTTCAGTGTTTCAGAAGTTCATCCTAAAAATAGCGACCTTTTCAGTTCTCCTTATACCAGGGGCGAGTTGGGCAAAACTATTTTAATGAGCATACTTAATTCATGCGCATGCTGCCAACATAACAACATAGTTTGTTTTGTTTTTTTAAATGACTCAGGCGGCCTCTAAGGATGACAGCGTCTCGCACAGCAACGGCGGTACAGAGCAGCTGCCACTGCTGGCTGATTTGGTGCTTTATTACTGCAGACATGCAGACCAGCCTGTTCTGGTGCAGCTTTACCAGGTTGAGGTCAGAGCAGATTCATGCGCACACACACACACACACACACACACACACACACACACAGGCATGCACAGGACACAATAACCATGAATACTTCCTTCCTCTGCACAGCTCACCCTGGTTGGAGGAGAGAGGAGAAGGGAAGTATTTATTCAGTCTCTGGAGCTCGGACACACAGCTGGAACCAGAGCTGTGAAGGCCATGGGTGAGTCACACTCTGAAATCAGTCTGTGATGTCTGTAATCAGACAGCAGCGACACCATTCAGGCAAACACACACTTTTGCACATGTGCGCCTAATTTTGCCTTGTGTTCTTTCTGAAGGTGCTGCCAGCAAAAGGTTTGGCATTGATGAGGAACGAGAGGCTGTCCCTCTAACACTAAGCCTTGCATACAACAAGGTATTGTTCCCACACACTCGTTTCCTGCAACACAAGCAATAAGATGATGTTTAAATTCACAGCCTGGCGTATTTCCTTAATCTGTGACTCGGCAACAGGTGGCAATCAGTGGGAGGAGCCAGTGGATCAATAAAGAAATCATGTGCACATCGATTAATCTTCACAAACAGTGGAGGACACCTCAGCAGCTCGGTGCGTGTGATTCCCACTTCTTCTTTTGTTTTTTTTCTTTGTCTTGCCTATGCTTTGTTGTAAGTTAAGCTATTCAAATATTGCCTGTGCAGATTCAGCAGAGAGCCTGCAGCTCACAATGACTGAAGTCCTGAAGAGGCAGTGCTCCAAGTCCAAAAAGGGCTACAAACAGGTGAGGGTGATATTAAATGTGATGACGTGCTCACTCTCCCTTTGAAACAACCCCCCTTCCCTTCCTCACACTTCTTCTCCCTCCGGCAGCACATCTCAGTCTCAGAAGTGAAGGTGGACAAGATGCAGGTGAACGGGAGAGATCCCGGGACGACGTTTGCTGTGTGTTTGGATCAGGATGAGAAGAAGTTTATTCAAAGTGTCACCAGGTATAAAACGAAGCATCACCTCTGACTTTGGTGGCAGAAAGAATTCCTCCTGCATTTTAAAGCCTTGGAAAATAAATATACTCTGATGCGTGACTTACATGAAAGGATCAAAGCAACGTGTTAAAATTACACTGTTTCAAGCAAAAGATGTGGACAGATGTTGAGCTGCTGATCTTTCATATTTATAACTTGAAAAACATATAAGCTCAGTCTTTCATTTGCCCTCTTTCTTGGGACCCCTACACAAAGAAAACACTCTCACCAAACTTCAAAATACTTTAACTTCTAATAATGTCTTGGAGCATAAATTGATAACAAAAAATAAATTTAGTAATTTTATCCAGACTTCCACAAAAACCTTAGATAAAAAGCCCAAAGCTGGTGGATTTATTACAGTTTCTTTATGACCTTTCTTTTCTGTTAACAAAATATGAAAAATTCCCAAGACCCACTTTAAGCAACAGGACCAATTGGCTCATTTTTAAAGCATTTTCCAGACCTGCTTCTTCTTCTTCTTCATAAAGAAGGACACCAGATGAGCTGCTGCACTTTTGTATTTGTGCATTACTGTAGCATTAACAACAAATCCTTTAAGGTTTCAGCCCCAATTATGAAGCACAATAAATCAGCAGCACTTAATATACTTGATTTAAATATCAACTGAACAAAGCTAAACCAAAGTGTGCTGTATATGTTATCTTGTGTTGTTGTCAGTGCCTATATACTATTATACGCTGTCCTTATGTATATGCTGTATATAGAGTAATTAGTTCACTGTCCCTGATTTATTCCATAATTTATTCCAACGTCTTTGCACTCAGCACCATTGCACAGCTACATACAGATATGCCACACATGCTGTTATTTTCTGTTTTATGTAATCTGTTAAATGCATTGAGAGAAAATGATGGGGATGGGGAGCAAATTTCTTTCTTGTGCCTCCTTTTTCTCCGAATGTGAATCCCAACCTCAGCGTCTCCGAGTCTAATGCAGTGTTGCTCTGTCTCGCCCGCAGGTGTGAGGTGTCTCTGTGCTGTAAGCCGGGAAGCGGTTTGGACTGGAGGACCTACCAACCGCTGCTGGGCCAAGTTCAGCCTCTGCACCCATCCTACTGCTCTATGCTCTGCCTCCCCATCACCTCTTTCTCGTCCTCGTATCCATGACCAGCTCGGTGCCGCACTGAAGAAGAAGAAAGCTGTGGGATTCTTTCTAATGCTGGGATGTTTGAGGACAGAGACACTGTACAGCTGGTGAAAAATAAACAGACTGACAAAGAGTGACATTTTTTCATGCGTGCGCCACAATTGAGATTAAGGTGTGCCGCCCTGTTGTTAAGGAAGTGTACGCATCTTTTTCTTCTGACACACTGGCACGCTCACTGCATAATGAGGAATGTGGGTGTACTTGTCGGTGTGTTGGGGGATTTTACAGGTTCTTGTCTTACCGGCACTGTTTGTGTAGGGGTGGGTTAAAATCTGCTGTGGGTGATTTGAAAACTGATTACTTGAGTACTAATGTGTACATTTTCAAGTCAATAATGTTGTGTAATAAATTAAGCTATTTATTCTCATGTGTTGTTGGTTTTTTAAACCTTCATGAGCATTTGCATTTCATTTTGTTTTTGTAGCTCATCCAACTGAAATAAAGACTACACTCATCTGTGTTTGGATAGTGACGTTTTGTTTCAGAATTTTATTTCCTCCAATAAGTTAATCACACCCTGCCGAGCATGCTTAAAATAGCAATGTGATGATCATCATGGCATTATGTCAGTAACAGGAAGCAGCAGGGAATATTCAGGAGGGAACTGTGTTCATACTTACGTGAAAACGCTCGCTCGGACAGAAGCTTCTGTAGTAAGCTTTGGAGAAATGCTGCACACAGAGCAGGAATGAAATTAACAATGCTTTGCACGATGCGATGTATTTATAGCTGAGCCAGTCATCGGACAACAAAGCAGAAGTGCACTTACCTTTCACTGCAGGGTATCAGGTATTTGTACTCAGTTCAATTTTTGTCGTTTCGGTTGCTGGGCTGTTGGGGACTAGTGCTGAACTCTCTCCTCAGAGGAGAGGGCTTTTTGTGATTTGTTCTGGTTTGAGTCAGCTGTGCTAAAATTAAGCCTTCAAAAACTCTGAAGAGTGGAAAGGATGGTCGATCCCACAGGTGAGAGTTTTCATTTCTTCATGGGCATTCTCGTTTCACCAGTAAAAGCAGCAGTTTCGGAGTCTAGAGAATGCAAACAAAATGTGTGTGTGTTTTAACAGCTAAAGAGGACCTCTCCTCCACTTGGGACTCCAGCTTGTGTGATGATGTCCAGGCTCTTTTCAAAGAGATGAAGAGCGAGAGTTGTTCCCGCAAAGGTATCCACTACTGAAAGTATATAAGCGCGCTGAAATCAAAGTCTGAAGTCAAAGAGCAACATAATGGATTATTAAAAACTCGTCATCATTGCTGAGAAACGTGTTTGTCTAGTAAAACAGACGCTTCCGTTAGCAGATAGTTTGCATCAACAAAGCGATCATTTTAACAGTATTGTTTAATTACTAATTATAATAAATAGATTCTAAAACTGTGATCTATTTCCTTATCACTTCCTGTTTTCCTTCCCTTTGTTTACAATCTATTACACATACAGTCACTGGACACTTTATTAGGCACATGCTCCTAATACTGGGATCGACTCTGCAGAACTGCATTAATTCAACAAGCTGCTGGAAACATTCATCAGAGGTTTTTGGTGTATGTTGACGTGACAACATCACTAAGCTGCTGCAGATTTGTTGGCTGCACATCCATGATGTGACTCTCCCAGAGATGCTCTGTTTGACTGAGATCTGGTGAGAAGGCCTGAGCCTCTGATACAAAGCAGAATAGATCCATGCTTTTATGCTGTTTCATGTAAATTTTGACCCGACCACCCAAATGTTGCAGCAAAAATTAAGATTAATCAGACCAGGCAACATTTTTTCAATCTTCTGTTGTCCTGTGCAAACTGTACTGTAGCCTCAGTTTCCTGTTTTTTGGTGGCAGGAGTGTCAGTCTGTTGGTGGGGCCCTGTCTGCCTACAAGGTTTAATATGTTCATATTTGCATTCAGAGATCCTCTTCACCTCGGCTGTAACTAGTGGTTATTTGAGTTATCATTGGCTTTATCAACTTGAAGCAATGTGCCCCTTCATCTCTCAATTCTGGACTCAACAAGGCATTTTCACCCAGAGAACCGTCACTAGCTGGATATTTTCTCGTCTTCTGATCATTCTCTGGAAACTCTTGAGATGGTTTCCATGATCAGCAGTTTCTGAAATACTCAGATCATGGTACCTGACTGGCACCAACAACCATTCTGATGCTCGATTTGAACTTCAGCAGGTCATCTTGACCTTGTCCACATAATTAAATCCTTTGAGCTGCTGCCACATGATTGGTGGATTAGATATTTCTATTAATGAGCAGATGAACACGTGTACCTAACAAAGTGGCCAGTGAGTGTAAAGTATTTACACATGACTATGTGACTCCTAAAGCTGTGATTTATAGTTTTGAGTGAGGGATACCTAATAAGGGGCTGCAGAGCTTAGTTATTTTAAGCTAATTAGCTAATAGTAGTGGTATCAACCTTCCACCCTTTTCACACACAGTGGGATAATTTAGCTGCTAAAATAGATAGTCACACTTATCTGAGACAATGCAAGCAAACTACTGTCTGCCTGATTTGCAGGAATGCTGGTATGGAACCTCCAAAGGAAGGTGGAAGGCAATCCTTCCTGCAGCCTTTCAATAATCTCAATTCTGGTCCAAAAGCTGGAGAAGACGTTAACAACAGTTTCCAAGGTTTGTCCTTCATCAAGTCTAGTCAAAATCAAGTTGTGCAGTTGTGTAAAAGCTATGCATTTAAAGACTTTCTTTTCTTTACTTCTGCTTAAAAAGTGCAAAATGAATTCAGATACTGAATTCTTGTTTGTCTGGGTTTTTTGGCTGGTGTAGCTCCATGAGAAAAAAACCTACATGTCTGTCAACCCAGTGCTGCACACGCTCTACTATGTAGTCATTCAGGTAAGACGCACTTGGCAACACACAGCTGAAAATATGATATTGTTCATGAAAACACTGCAGCAACAGCAACAAGCTGTAAATAATGTACAAATACAGGCTGAAAGGCTTTTCTGTATTTCAATATCCAGTCAGGTGTCACAATTCCTAAAGGTCTTTATCACAAAGCGTACGAGTGTTTGGGGAAACTGCTGATACTGCCATCGCCATACTCCGCTGTGGCTCTGCACACTCTGAGGAGCATCAAGATGGAAATGACTGCACCAGGTATCACATATCCTTACACGCGTGACCTCGATACTAAAATCCGCTCTCACTCTTACCAGACAAACCCTTTCCTCAACAGGATCTCTGTACCTGAAGAGAGTCATCGCAGAGCAAAATATCAAGAGTGAGCATTTTGCTGCCAGTGAAAAGTAAGCAGGCCATATTGAAAGACCTCCAGGCCTGTATCAGAATGATTCAAGTGTATATCGCAACATTATTGTCTCCTGCTTGTGTCCTGCAGAGTGTTTGTGCTGGCAGACCCAGCTGTGTTTTCTGTTTCACTGGAAGCTACGGTTAGAGCATACTTGGAAGTGTCACACCGGCTCACAAACACACGGACTATGGAGAAAAGTGTGCTTTTCCGTGTGCTGGAGACAGGGTTAGGGACGACCTGCCAAAGCTTCAGACTAGCTCAAGCTCTTGAGGTAAATACATCCATGAGGGTGCTTTGGACAAAGAAACAGTAGTGATCCCCAGAGGATGAATCCCATTCATTTTCATGATCCCAGATTTATTATTTACTATGTATATAAATATAAACATAAGCTACATGAACTAATCACCCATTAGTTCAAATGGTGTATATGTATAAATCAGGTTTCATTTTCCAGGTTTCAAAATCAGAACTTTAGTTCACGCCACCTTGATTTCTATAAATATAAAAAATAACATGTAATGCTCAGAAAAATCAAATCAAATCAAGGAAAACTTAACAAAATTAACTTTTTTTGCTGTGAGTTTGAGTCCAGCACTGAAAGGATTTGTTTTCCATTGCACGGTGACACGGTGGTTAGCACTGTTACCACACAGCAAGAAGGTCCTGAGTTCAAATCCAGTTTGTGTTTACGTGGGTTCTCTCGGGGTACTCCAGCTTCCTCCCACCATCCAAAGACATGCACTTAGTGGGGATAGGTTAATTGATTAATCTAAATTTCCCATGGGAGTGAATGTGAGTGGGAAAGGCTGTCTGTCTCTGTGCATTAGCCCTGCGACAGACTGGCGACCTGTCCAGGGTGTCCCTGCCTCTCGCCCTATGACAGCTGGAATAGGCTCCTGCGACCCTGAAAGGGAGAAGTGGAATGGATGGATGTTCCTGTGTCATTTTGTTCCCTTATTCACATCAAGCTATTCATCAAGATCTGATGTGTTCCCCTAATTTTTTTTCCAGGTTTTAGAGGACCATGATGTGAGGCAATATTTCCAGGATGTGGTTGAAACTGTGAAGCAGAGTTTACAGCATGGTCCCGGCAGTCGTGCAGATTATCTGAAGGGGCTGAAGCAGATACACAAAAACATCTTGGCTGCCTCTGAAAAAGGTCTGAGTGTAGTGTGTCATAACACAAGTTATTCTAAGTGGAGATAATAATAATAATATTTCTTATCAACTTCTCTCAGATGTATTGCATGATGAACAAGGTGCTGTGTACAGCACTACAGTGCCCTTGCCAGAGATGAACTTCCTCATGTGGACAGATGAAGAGATGCTATGTGAGCCCATCAAACAAACAAGAACTGATGCTTCATATCTATAATCTTACCACACATACAAGAAGGCTGCAGTTTTACTTGAAACTGACGTTAAATTTGTCTTTCCTTAAGGGAATCTGTTGACAGACTTTGCCCTACCTTCTGGCTCCAACTCCATTAAGGATGACAAAGAAAGGATCTCAAGAGACAGCGGGATAGTGAAGGACTTAAAGGACTCAGACGAAGCAGAGCAGCTGCCTTACACGGCTCAAAAGACACTGCGGGAACGGAGAAATGCCTTGAAGAACTCAAAGTCTGCAGAAAAACTGATTCTGATGGAGGAGAAGATGAAGGAAACCGGAAACTCGCCTCTACTCAAAGAGGAGCGAAGTCACACGGCTCGAGTTGTGGTACTGGGGGACGACAGCACCCTGGGAAAGCTCACCAAGGCTTATTACATCATACGGTGAGGATCCCAAATACTGGAGTGTGTGTATGTGTGTGTGTGTGCATGCCCACTTTTAAATAAACTTTTCTAAAAATGTCCATACAGCAAGAAAGAGGCCAAACGTAACATGCTGACCAAGAAACTAGACCTGCAGCTGTACTACATCCCAGTCTCTGATGCAGAGGCTTCCCCGAGTTCACCTGTGAGTTACACTGACACATTCAAAGCAGCTCTGACAGGTGTGAGTGTAGAGGACTACGTAACTCTTAATACTCCTCACAGGATGAGAGCAGGTTGTCTTTGGCGTCCTGTTTGGAGAGAGTGGATCCATGGTACAGTGTCAACGTTGGCAGTCTGGGAGCTGCCATCCCGACGCTACCTGAGCTGGTAACCAACTGTAGCGATTACATCTTATTAATAATAACTATATGCAGTCCATCTAATCCTGTCCGCCCTTTGCACAGCCTTCTGTTTCCAGGAAACCGACAGAGCTGAGCCTTTACTTGTTGGACACCCTGTGTTACTACCTTCGCTGTGGGACACAGCCAGTTAACCTCCCGGTCTATTCAGTTAAGGTACAGCAGAGCTATCATGTGTAGATATTGTGTTTTACATGCATTTAAATGTGGAAGGCAAAGAGCAAGGCTGGCTTTTCATGCGTCAAACATCGTAGCAGAATTCAGCTAAAAAGAAAATAATAATAAATAATGTCTATTTTTCTTACTTAAAGCTGGACTTGTGTCAAATCGTGTAACTGCGTGTTGAATTTGAGTTTTAGAGTTTGGACAATGAAATGTTTTCCTGCTGATATGGGGACTTAGACATTTAGTATTAGACCTCCTGTGTCATATCTTTGTTTCATAATTTCTCACATTAGTTTTATTTGTGTGTGGATCTTTGTATCATTTTCAGTGAGTTTCAGTTCTTTTTCTCTGTTTCTAATGCAGTAATATCAAAGTTCACAGCCAAAACTGACTTGGCTTGTTCATTATTCCAATAATAGATGAGGGAACAGCCAAATCCTCAAATTGTATTCTTAAGCTCCTGAACCACATAGTTTAACTCACAGAAAGGTGAACCAGTCCCTGTGTTTGCATCTGAGGGTTTTCCCCTCTCAGGGATTCACTTATGCAACAATTTCTTGTTGTTGTTGTTTTTATGACTGTAACAAATTTCATGTTGATCTAATTTAAATGCTGTGTTATTTTTGGAAACTGTTTTTTTTTTTCAAGTTTTAGCATAAAATATTTTTCCTACAGTGTGTGGAGAACAAATCTGAGCTAAGATGAGAGAAAATGTTTCACTTTATTCACCAGGTGGACAAAATCAGAGTACAAGAAATGTTGATCTCAGTTCATAATAACTTCACAAGCTTTTTGGTGACATGCACTGGCCAGTTTATTAGGTACAGTTTGCTGAATTCATTATTTATGAAAAAGATTCAACAAGATGCTGGAAACCTTCCTCAGAGATTTTGGTGTGTTGATCCACGATAATGTTCAGGTTTGGTGAACCCATTCTAATTCTAAAAGTATTGTGACTCTGATTGTAGATTGAGTTTCCTGTTCTTAGCTGACAAGAGCAGCGAACGGTGTGGTCTTCTGCTGCTGCAGCCCATCTGCTTCAATGTGTTGTGTGTTCAGAGATGCTTTTCTGCATGCTTCGTTTGTAAAGAGTGGCTATTTGAGTAATAATTTCATTCCCATTGGCTCAAAACAGTCTGGCCAGCAGACCAGCAGTTTCTAAAATACTCAGATCATGGTGCTCAGTTTGAACTTCAGCACGTCGTCTTGACCTACATGCCTTTATAAACATATGTGACTTGATCCTTACTGCATGCCTGAATGCACTGAGTTGCTGATTGTTTGACTCCATATTTGCATCAGTAGCAGATGAACATGCGTGCCTAATAAAGTGGCAGATGGGCGTCCAAATGTCTTTCCAGCTCTTTCACTGTTTCCAAACAAATTCAAATGTTACAGCTTTAACTAAACTAAGTTTAGCAGTTACTTCTTCAGTGTAGAGTCTGGTAGGTGCTGTCATTCGTTTGTTCACGCTGGTTTTTGATTTGATTAAATGTGCCGTGTGTTTAGATGACCCTCTCCAACTCTGATCTGGCCTCAGTGGAGGAGCTGTTTGTGTCCCACCTGGAGGCCGACATCCCAGATTTCAGACACCTTAAAGACCAGCAGCAGAGTATGTGTGCGAATCTTTCTGTGCATGTGTGTGTAGATATTGATGTAACCACGGTAACAGATGGCGACATAAACTGGCTCGTCTTTGACAGGGGAACCCTCTGTACGACAAAAGAAGTCATCGGTGGAACTCTTTGGCGTGGTTCTGTCGGTCAACTACACAAAGGTGTGCAAGTGTGACTCATTAACACTGTCACACTTGCACACAGACTCACACTCACTGATGTTCTCAACAGGCCACTTTAAGCAAACGAGACGTTAAAGGAGAAGCATCTATGACCTGGCGTGTGGTGATTACCTCAGAGCCGGCAGCTTCAGCGTCAGGTTTGTTGTTGGTTTTCTTTTTTTGTTTGGTTTTTTTTTTATCAATTGCTTTATTTCAGTGCAATAAGAATTATGTGGAGAAAAAACTGAGTCACCCTTTTCATTTTGTTTAGGGGAGAGTTACCTGACTGCAAGGTTTGACTCTCTGAACCCCGCATACAACACAGTAAGACGTTATTCTCTTCTGCCTTGGATTATTGGCTAGTTATATCTCATTATGCATGATGCAGTGGAAGTGCTTTATCCATATCTGAAGGCAACTGAATCTGTTAATGATAGAAAATCGAAACTCGAAACATCAGCATCAGGACAATGGAGCAACGAACACTCTGCGTGTGTCTGGACAAAGACCCTCGCAGGATATACACCAATGTCCAAAAGTAATTTTATGCTTCTTCTGTTTTTACTTGTCCATTTTCACCCTTTAAGAAAAACTAACATGCTGCATTGTTCTTTTACAGAATAGAAATCTCTCCATGCTTGGACCCGGGTTGCACCATTCGGTGTAGGTACAGCATCGGCAGCGAGCAAGAGCTGCCACTCAGCAAGTATCTGGACAAAGTCATGTCACTGCCAATCAACAGCTTCTCTGGTGTCAGCATGTGAGGGACACAGGCTGACTGCTTCACAGTCATCTTAATGTTACATTGGCAAAGCTTATCCGTCCACCCATCAGTTCATTTTCTTCACCTCGCATACAGTTCAGGGTCGTGGTGGGCTAGAGCTAGAAGCAGAGGCAGGTCACCTCTACATTGCAGAGTAGAATCATCTACACTGTCTTGTGTTTAGTAACATTCATGTTAATCCCTTTGGATCCTCTTAATTTAGTAACACATGATTATTTGGATTCCATTATCTCTCTCGCTAACTGAATTCTAAATGCTCACAAATCCTGTTATAAGAGTTAACGGATCCTCTACATGAGAAAAAGTAGTTAGGTTCTACTAACTAAGAATGCAGAGCGAGTCTGCATGTCGAAGTATCCCAATGCATCGATCTACCCCTGAGTGTGTGAATGTTAGAGGTGTGTATGCAACAGGAAAAAAGTGCTTGTATGAACGGGCATGATTGGTTGAATGAGGCTTGCAGTAAAATGTGCTTTGAGTGTTTGTATTAAAGCTCTACATAAGTACCCGTCCAGTTAATTTGCTTCAAAGACAAAGTACTACAAGTATCCAAGTGCTTGTTACCTGTGGCCATTTTTCAATAATAAACTTTATATTTTATAAGCTGGTCGTGGATTTTTTATGTCATAAATCAACTTAATCAGTGCAATGAAATACTACAATAATGCCATGTGGCATCCAGCAGATGAGGTTAAAGTCCCACATGCTGGGGAGGTAAAAAGAAAGAAGAAGAAAGAAACATATATGTGATTTGAACCTCTTGATGTATGTGAATTTTTAGGGTTGAATCAAGTTGAATCACCCCATGTGACACCTGTTAGAGAGCAGAGGTGTAAAAAAACAGCATGTGCTGGAGTTTGGTATTTTCTGCTTTGTGTCAAACTGCTGTACGATGCTTTCTGCGACTTGAGCCATGATCCAGGCAAACAAACACACAAGTTTTATTGCTCAAATTGATTCAAATCCCCCCAAAAAGGGGGTCATTTTAAAGTCAGCACTAATCACACTAACTGAAGTGGTTCTTACTGAAGATTTTTATCTTTGCACTGAGGAGACAAATATAAAATTCAAACCAGATGACCTGCTTTAATAACATGTAATTGGACATCAAAACAGAGGAGTTGGAGCTCTCTGATCACTCTCTGATGAACTGCGCCTATCGCCTAATCGAGCTGCGACGATGCTCTCTGTAGTGCACACGGGCATCCACACCAACAGGAGGAGCTATAGTCGTGGGAATCTGCGCCCACAGGTGTGAACTCGCACTGCTGCTGCTGCTGAGCGCGTACCCGACTGCTACAGGTGTCCAGAGCTCAGAGCAACAAAGGTTCAAACACGGGAGTGCGCTGTCGGAGTCGCGGGTGGGAAATGATCGACAGAAGAGGATAAGGAACTTGGGCAGAATTTAAAAGGTAAATGTTAAAACTTTGTTTTTCTTCCTTTATAAACTTGGCGTGACGTGGACTAGTCCTCCACATCTTGCAGGCACAGGTGCGTCCAGCCTGACGGGTGGTTTCCTGACAGTCTGTCATTTCCTCGTTTTTTTCGTGTCAGCTTATTTCCTCAAACACAATGAAGTCGCTGTAGGGTGATCATTTGAGTCTGTCTGCTTCGCATGTGAGTGTGGATAAGTTACTATAAAAACAGATACTTTATTATTGTTGGAGCTACAGCGAAATAAACGAGGGCCAGCCCTCAACTCATTTATTAAGGGCCTCTATCGCATTAGGAACAGCAGGAGGAATCATTTTATTACCTGAGAACAGAAATAAATCGCCTGGAGTCTTCAATGTATTTATTTAAACAACTCTATATGGCCAACATAATGGCAAAACATAACTAAAATGAATGTCCACATTTAATATTTCTTAAATGCTATACAAGGATAGCATGACAGGTGTTTACTTTGACTGCACAGGCGTTATCTGTGAGCAAGTAATGGATTCATTTTTAAATGACTGGACATGAATAACTTGAGCTTATTATATAATATTAAACTAAAGTGTATTTCTATCTAGTTTGGCATCTTGACAATCCTTTCTTTAAATATGTAACACATTCTAGGGTCAACTTAAAAAAAAGCAGATCTGAAAATGTAAAACTGAGGTCAGAGGTCAAATGCGACTGATATTTAGACGCAAAGTGTAATGTGATATTTAGAGTCCTCATACACCAGTATCATTTCCTGATTTTTGCCAATACAAACAAAGTCAGCAGAATCTAAAGCACACTTCTGAAGATAAAATACATTTTATGAAAGTTTGACTTTATTTGTCCTTAAAAAAGGTCAGAGGTCAAATCTTTGTATGATGATGCCTGATGCCTTTTCAGAATGTATTAGTATCAAAAGACTGAAATGTCTGCACTAACATTTTTATATTTTCTCTGTCTCTCTCAGTTTGAATCGCTCCATGTGACAGCTAGCAGGACGGACTCTAAGCTGCTCAAACATGAAGAGGATCAAGCAGATTGACATAAAGCGAGCCCTCGCTATGGCTGGAACCTTTAACTTCCTGTGCTCCTGCGCTAAAGCATGCTTGCTGCCCTTCCTCACCCTGTACTTCAGACAGCTTGGCCTGACTCCTGCCATGACGGGCATCGTCATGGGTACCAAGCACTTTATTACGCTGGTGTGGAGCCCCGCGGCGAGCCTGCTCTCCAAACACTACAACAAGAGACGAGCGGTGATCTGCGGCTCTGTCGTGTTTTCGGCAGCAGCCGCTCTGCTCCTCCTGCTCATCCCGAACACGGATATGCATGCATGGACTTGTAACGCCTCGGATCCGCACGTCGGCCCGCCCCAAAATCCATCTGATGTACTGTCAGTGAACATCACTGGACCTGTAACATCCCATCCAAAACCTCATGTTTCCCAGTCGCTTGTCACTCATCTTCCTGATGCTGATAGGAAAGCTCCTGTTATTACAAATGAAACTTCACCTCATCATCATCACCATCACAATCACAGTCATACCACTGAATCTCCTCTTCTTTATGCGCCACAAAAGAATGAATCAAAGGTGCTTGAAAGTTCCAGCAGCTCTTTGGCAACTCCGGTCAGAAACAAGAGGTCTGAGCTGAAATCAGAGCAGCAAACGGGGGAGAAAAAGGATGAGAGTTCTTTGGGCTTCCTGGGCAGCCTAAAGGTGATGGACACTCAGCATCAACTCTTCTTCTTGATACTCATCATTATGTGTGTGTGGGAGGCGGCATCCGCACCCTTGGAGTGGAATGTAGACGACGGCCTCTACGAATATTTAGATTTCGCGGATGCCTCGGACCGCTACAGCAGCACCAGGGTGTGGGGTGTACTTGGAGCAGCATGCGGGGTTGGGGTAACCGGCCTGCTGGTGAGCCGACTGGCATGCCTCATAGCTGCTCAGACCTCAAGGAGTGTGGTGCATTTCTACTGCTATGCCAGCCTGGCGTTTCTGGTCCTGCCCCTGGCCATGTCCCTCCCTCTCTACCTGAACAAGAAGCGAAACAGGACCAGCGGGCTCCTGAAAGCCCTGCAACTGGTGCGCGGCTCCCCACAGGCTGTGCTCTGTGTCTTCACCACCCTGCTGGTCGGGGTGGCGAACTCGGCCATCGACAACTTCCTCCTGTGGCAGATGCAGGATCGCGGAAGCAGTGAGCTGCACATGGGACTATCTCTTGCCCTCGCTCTGCTCTCGCAGGCCGCCTTCCCTCTGATGGCTGGCCGAGTCTCCAGGCTGCTCGGCCCTAGGAGGATGCTCGCAGTTGGAGCCGCGAGTCTCGGCCTGCAGTGCTTCTACTACTCCTTCCTCTGGGGAGCGTGGGCTGCACTGCCTGCTCAGGTGCTGAGTTGTTTCAGCAGCGGAGCTCTCTGGTGGGCCGTGAAGCTCCAGTGTGAGGACATCGCCACACCAGGGGCTGAGAGGAGCGTCAGGAGGGTCTACAAGTCCCTCTCTATTCATCTGGGTAGTGCACTGGGGAGTTTGGCTGGAGGGTTTGTGGCCCAAAGCATCGGGCTCACATGGATGTTCAGAGGACTGGCGATGGTTTTGATAGTGTGGTGTGTGTGCCTGCCCCTGCTCCAGTGGAAAGCCCCCCACCACCGCAGGATTAACTATTCCCGCCTGCTGGCAGCGGATGCAAGCGAGGCCAGTGACTCCGAGTCAGAACAGGAGAGAGACTGGCTTGATAAAGCAATGGAAAATGACAAAAGCAACAACAACAGTGCAAGGAAGGTAAACCACTAAAACCTCCAGACGGTGAAAATACTAAAAGGAGCAATTCTGTGAATAAGAAGAATAAATTCACTGTCACATAATAAATGAATCAGATTTCGCTATTAATATGGAAATGGGAGTCATCGTTCCCTTCGAGCTCTGCAGCCTTGCTTAAAGATATGTCACTCTTCATCACCAAGTTGCACAGTCCAGATGGGGATGATTAATTTCCCACCCTGACAGGATTCATTACAATCAAAAGTGTTGACTTTTCCTTCTCATTACTTTTCCATCAGAATTAAATGTTACGTCATCCAGTCTGTCCCTCCATTTTTTCTTTTCTTTTCTTTTATCAGACTGTGAGTGTCAGCTGTACGGATGGATTTTGGGATTCATCTCTGGGCCTCCTGAGCTTTTACTAATGTACATTTGCATAAGCGGTTATTGTTTTCTAAAGCAAAGAAGGCAGCAGGATTACAGCCGAGCAAATCAATTACTCAGTGCCACCGGGCAGCTTAAACAGCCTGAGGTATTGTGTTAATGGAAGCTTCTCTCATGGTGTATAAACACAAGACGTGTGCAAAAGGTGAGGCCAAACTGTTGCACTACCACACCCGAACCTGCTGTTAATCAGCTGGAGGAGTCACTGCTGACTGCTCTCACTTATCAGCTTTGTGTCTCCCTCTGGGCTCTAAACTCTGAACTGAAGATATAGATGAAGCGAGATGAAAATCTTTGTTTATGTGTATTGAACTGGGGTAACTTGAGCACATTCAGAATGTCTTGTGCAAAAATGACTTGAGTTGTACAGCCCTGAGCTGTGACGACAGTCAGAAGACACCTGTTTAAAATTTTATTTGTCTAATTTATATTTCTGCTCATGTCAGATGTTCTCTCTCCATAAAAGATGTATTTAGACTGTGAAACCATAAATCTGCATTTCTTGCACTGACCAGCAGGGGGCAAATGCTATGTTTGGAGAAAGGACTCCAATTACATAGAAGTCTATATGAAAGAGAACCTATTTCTGATCCAATTTATCATAAATGCTTTTCCAATGAGTCTCAATTTTGAGCATCAAGTGTTCTTATTTTGTAAATTTTGGTCCAGTTTAGAGTTTAATAGACAATAAATGAGAGTATACTATAGGACGGGGTGGGCAACTACAGGCCCCGAGGGCCAGTGTCCTGCAGGTTTTAGATGTGTCCTTAATCCAACACAGCTGATTCAAATGGCTAAATTACCTCCTCTACATGTCTTGAAGTTCTCCAGACGCCTGGTAATGAACTAATCATGTGATTCAGGTGTGTTGACCCAGGGTGATATCTAAAACCTGCAGGACACCAGCCCTTGAGGCCTGGAGTTGCCCACCCCTGCTATAGGACATGGCTTCACAAGTACAAGTGTAACTTCATAGAGTCCTCAGTCAGATTCAACGTTGCTCAAGATGGCTATGGCCAAACTGCTGAACTAAAAGCTTTAGAAAACCAGTCAGTGGAGTAACACTGGTTAAGTCCATCTTTTGTATACAGTCTGTGGGAATGCTGTAAGTCACAGGTGTCGAACTCCAGGCCTCGAGGGCCGGTGTCCTGCAGGTTTAGATGTGTCCTTGATCCAACACAGCTGATTCAAAAGGCAAAATGACCTCCACAACATGTCTTGAAGTTCTCCAGAAGCCTGGTAATGAACTAATCATTTGATTCAGGTGTGTTGACCCAGGGTGGTATCTAAAACCTGCAGGACACCGGCTCTCGAGGCCTGGAGTTCGACACCTCTGCTGTAAGTGGAAAAAAATCCCAAAACGTTTTGTCTCCAAATGAAAACTGTGAAATCTGATATTTTACTTCCGGTTTTGTCTTCACTTAAAAGTGCTAAACATTTCATTTCTATGCAGTGAAGTAGCATTGATCTAAGAGCTCCATAAGATTATTATAGTTGCAGGGTTGTTGTTGTTGTTGTTGTTGTTGTTGTTGTTGTTTTTTTAATGGTATATAAAAGAAATGATTGTGGTGTGTTTGGGGGGTTTGAATAATTATATTGCTACTTACTTTGCATGACCTGAAAGCCAAAGTAGATAGTAAAAACTTGAATGTGCGACACATTTTGAGCCAGTTTTAGAAACAGTGTTCACTCTGTCGGGCTTACAGATGTTCTTGCCTTGTCATATAACATGAATGGCAGTCATTTTCCTTCATGTGCTTCTGGGCTTGTGGCAACAAATGTGTGAAGTGTCTGGCTGGCTTCATGGCTGTGGGACATGGCTATCTATGGCACAGTGGCAGCTCTAGTGTGCGGGCAGACGCATGCTGCACTCCCCGAACATCTGGCCTGCTGCCTCGAGGGCCCGCCTGCGTGAAATCGAGTTCTCTCCACTTTGTCGAGAGCTGAACTCAGTCAGACTAGATGAAAAATTCATGATGATAGACAGCTGGATTCTCCTGTGGAGAGTGCTACTGTTGTGGTTACAGTGGAGGAAACCATTAAAACGGAAGACGTCTGTTTAACCTTTGTTGTCTTTTGTTGTTTTAAAATGAGGATACCTTTGTGCCTTTGCCTAACATCCAGTGAACCTGCGTAGAGATTTTTTTTATGACCTCCATAGTAATCCACACTGAGATAGACTGCCATTGACGCTGCTGATGATGGCTCTCTGAGAGTGGAACCATGAGAGATATACCTGAACTTTTTGAGGGAAGTATTTGAAAGTTTGACTAAAATGTCTCCGTTCATTGATCTCCATGAATTCTGATTCAGACTTTTGTGCTCCTCTGAAGGTGAAGTGAAGGGAAGTTGGTTCAGTTTTGGATTTAAAAAAGCAGAACTTGCTTATAAAGAGATTTCATTCCCCAACTTTGGGAAAGAGTACATTCATGACAAGCACTGCTGTCTATAAATATCACCTGGCATGGCTTTAGGCTCCTTATAATCTGACATCCTTTAAGATCTTAATGTGACTCAGAGTGAAAGAACAAATTTAGTTTGGAGCATTTTTTTTTCTCTCTTGATGGATTTAATTATAATTTTCCACATTCTCCCACTTTGCACTCATTGCTTTGCTCCTGCCAGTCAGTAGGTGGAGCCTCGGAGCTCGCATGAGGTGCAACAGCTTTCTTTTTTCCATGCTCAGAGATCCACGGCTGTAGGACTGGATGGACTCAGCATCAGCTGGCAGCTGTCCTCTCTTTGTGTTTCCTCACACATTTGGGCAATGCTGCATGGACCTGGGGGACACCTTTTAATATTAATTTTAAGCTTGTGCGAGAATCTCCTTTGAATTTCCTCTGCAGACAAAGAAGAAGTGTCTTTTTTTTCTTTTTAAGAAAAATGGAAAAAGAGAGAAAATCCTCTCAAGTGTGCGGCGCTCTGGAAGACAAGCAGGTGGATGAAGCAGCGGAGAAAGCAGGTGACTTTCTGAGCATCGTGTTTGAGTTTGCCTGTGTGCGTGTGCTGTTGCTGCGAGAAGTGATCTAGGAAGGAAGCACACTTTTAGATCCTTGAAGATCACCACTGTGAGCATCATGTTAAAGTTGTATGTCAGCAGGGCTGTAGCCAGGGCTCCCTCGGGCTGGGGTCGGGCTATGTGTAAGAAGTTTACTAGAATAGATCAGTTATCAACATTAATCCCATCTCGTATGGACAATTAATTAAATTATGTCAACTAATTATGTTTTTTATTACAATTGTTTGTCATTCCCTAATATACTCAAATTTTAAAATATAAATACACAAATGGCAATAAAAGCAAAATGAGGCAACCAGCAGCTTGGTCTGCAGCAATGTGCTTGAAAGTAATCCTTTAATTTAGTTTTGTTTTTTTTAATGAGAGCAAAAACTGTCATTGATCCTGTAATATAAGCAATCTCTTTAACTGACATATAGATTTTTTTTCTCTAAAAAAAATGAAACGCAGTGGAAGATAATCTACACATATTCACATTTCTGTGACACAAGAAGAAGAAAAGTGGTGCATTCAGCTGAGGCGTGCACTTTTTTTTTTTACTTACTTAAAGAATGATCCATCTGTCTGAACTCTGCAGCCCAAACAAAGTCTCCTCGGTGAGTAGTCCCAACAGCTGTAGTTTATATGCCGACCAAAATTAGAACATTTTACTTAAAATAACATTTTACTGAATTTGTAAAAATATATTTATGGGAACATCTGTATACTGTTAGGGCTATAAGTATTTGGACAATGACACTTTTTTTTCTGTAATTTTATCATAATTAATCTTAAATCAAAAAGTAAAAGCTGTGATTGAAGTGTGGAATTTCAGCTTATAGTTAAGAGACCTGACAGAGGTTAGAGTTAAGTGTCAATCATATATATTTCACCCTGTAATATTCTTAATATTTATAATTGAGCGATTTGTATATATTAGTGCTGTTTCTTAAATTTGTAATTTTTGTAATATATCGTATTATTTAATTAGTCTGTTACTGTCTTAGAGCAACTATAATCATTTCTTATGGATCATTAAAGTATTCTGATTGTGACCAACAAAGTTTTTCATTAATTGTTTTAGGAATAACATTTTTATGCCTTGTTCTCTGCATTCGGAGACTCAAACGTAATTAGTAATTAATGTTTTTAATGGTCCTCAGCTGGAAAAAAAGGTGGAGAGCCCACTCCGGGTCAGGGACGAGTTCCTGCCCCAAGTGGAGGAGTTTAAGTATCTGGGGGTCTTGTTCACGAGTGATGGGAGAAGGGAGCCGGAGATCGACAGACGGATTGGTGCAGATTGTACCGGTCTGTTGTGGTGAAGAGAGAGCTGAGTGTAAAAGCGAAGCTCTCAATTTACCGGTCGACCTACATCCCTACCCTCACCCATGGTGACGAGCTGTGGGTAGTGACCGAAAGAATAAGATCGCGAATACAAGCGGCGGAAATGAGCTTCCTCCGAAGGGTGGCTGGCCTCTCCCTTAGAGATAGGGTGAGAAGTTCAGCCATCCGGGAGGGGCTCAGAGTAGAGCCGCTGCTCCTTCACATCGAAAGGAGCCAGCTGAGGTGGTTCGGACATCTGACAGGGATGCCTCCTGGGTGCCTGAGGTTTGGTTTTCCAGGCATGTTCCACCGGGAGGAGGCCCCGGGGCAGATCCAGGACATGCTGGAGAGATTATATCTCTCGGCTGGCCTGGGAACGCCTTGGTGTTCTCCCGGACAAGCTGGGGAAGGTGGCTGGGGAGAGGGAGGTCTGGGCTTCTCTGCTTGGGCTGCTGCCCCCACGACCCGGCCCCGGATAAGCGGAAGAAGATGGATGGATATTTTTAATAGTGGGATAAAATTTAGAACTCGTGCTTCTGTGCTGTGTTTCCTGCCTTGTGTTGCTCTGCTTGACCTTTGCTGCAGTCACCTTCAGCTGCTGCTTGCTTGTGGGTCTTTGCACCTTCAGTTTTGTCACACACTTATGGACCTACAGCAACATTCAAAAGGGTAAAAAAAAGTTACGGTTGACAGCAGCAAAAATCTGAAAGGAAACGACATCAAAGATTTTTGGATTGGGTGCTCGAGATGAGTAAACGATACAGTTTGCATGTTGACATGAAGCTTCTGTACAAAGTGAATAATTTAAAGTGACAGGGTGAAATAAAAAGCTTCAAACAGTTTCTGACAGAAAGCTCGGAGCCAAAAAAAAATGACAAGAAAAGGAACACATGCAGATTGCTTCAACACTAAAACACCTGCTGATAATTAATATGTAGATGAACAGCGGTGGGATTGCCATGTGGGGAGTTTTGAGGGTTTGTGTTTGTGTTGGCTCGCTGTTCCCCGGTGAGTCAGTGTGATTGTAGTATGTTTTCACACAAGGTCGGGTAATTAAAAGCCAATCCAAGCTCTGCTGGATGACTCATCGCTCCTGGTGAGGAGTGGGAGGCTGCGGAAGCAGGGTGGGGAATGCAGTTATTCAGGGATGTGCAGAGAGTTACTTGGGGGAAGTATCCACAAAGCTCTGATCACATCGTAGCGGGAAGCTGTTTTAGACCCAAGGTGGTTTTAATTGCTTGTTTGACTATCTTGATTTTGATTTTCCTGGAGAAATTTGCCACACATGGCTTACATGTTAAAATCCATTGTTGCAACCAAGTTAAAATAAAAACTGCAAGTATTCGACAAGCCAACAATCCTGACTTTGCTTTCAATATGCACAGACAGCAACAGCTTGCATAATTAGCCTGTGATGCATGAATCAGCACCCACAATACCAAAGTTCTGCACCTGGATCTCGTGAAAAAATCCACTTGTACACCTGTCCTGCTGCTACATTAGAAGTATACATAGATTAAAGTTACACATGCAAACCATATGCTGGTAATAGTAATCAGCTGTTCTTATGAAGACTGCTCATCACACTCTATGCTTTGCTGGGATTTCCAGGGTAATTCAGTTAACAAAAGATACTTAAAAGGGACATATCATGCTTGTTTAGATTTTTTTTTCATGTACTCTACCAGAGTAGCTTTGCACAAGTCACAGTTCAAAATAATGCTTATTTATCTTAACAAGTCTGGAGGCTGTAGCCCCTCTGTTTATCCACCATCTTAAACAAACTGTGCTAGCTCTTTCTCCTCTTCTTT